ATAAACATTAATATTTTACAGTAAAAAGTATTACGATTTAGAATTCATTAATTACTAACTTAATAATCTTATATGCAAATGGCATTGTGTGATTACACTATTCAAAATAGATGACTAATAACATTTGATTTGCGAATACATGTGTATAAATATATCATTATTATTAAAAAATATATTTTAACATTTTAACAAATCAGAGATGATATATTTCAATATCAATAATAAATTTTCGTGTCATTTTTATAAACGTTCAAAAGTTAACAATATTATTCCAATTTATATAAATTATGTAAATTATGTGTCAATTATTATATATATATATAAAATTTATTAGTCACATTTTTAAAATTTTAATAGATAAAATGATTTTTTTCAATTTTAATTTAATAATTTATATGGCATGTTGTAAAAACATAGAGTAATGTCATCTTTTAAAAAAACAATTAATGCATTAAAGTATCTAAGTATAAAAAAATAAATATAAAAAGAATGTCTTGTTTTTTGTATAATGGTAACTTAAGTATTAAACGGCGGTTTGTGGTACTCCCTGTACTAAAAGTGTTTTGCTTTTAGCTTTCGGCAGTGCAGATTGACTCATTGTTTTAACCATCTTAGGCTGACCATTAGGCGAACTGGTAACAAAGCCTTCTGATCTCATATCTTTCAACGAGGCATTGGAATTACTACGTAATGATGGTGTAGAACTAAATTTTCTATTATGCGCTAAACGTTCTTGTAATCTTGCTTCGTTTTGACGTGGTATTCTGGACTTCACCGGTATATCACGGTACTCGTATATATTTTCTTTAGACGCGCGTGTTAGATTCTCGATTCCCTCGGAATGTTCATCGTCTCGTACCATCAAGATGTCTCCGCTATAGTAGTGATCAGATTGTCTGTGGAAAAAAATAATATAGAAGAATACTATACATATGTATAGAAATATACACAAAATTTATAAATAAAAATTAAATAATTTAATAATTATAATTTATTTTATTTAATTTAAATTCTTGTATTCATTTTTTCTGTAAATTATATATATAGTGTAATTAATAAAGCACTAGTATGTGATCGGTATATTGTGCAAAATTGTGCATAAAGTATTATTTATAAATACCTCTACGTATCTTAGCTGCCTTTGTTTTGCTAATTGTAAGCAGGAATAGAGTTAATTAGCAACTTACATTCAGAAATGGTTATGTAAAAAGTAAGATAAGAAAACCGTATCCCGCAACTGTATCCAGAACCAATTTCCGCATGCGCTACCGTTCGGTACAGCACCGTAAGTGTCGAATTAAGCTGTAGTCACATGGATTTGGTTCTGTTTACCTTTTCTTACCTTTTGGCGTTACGCCAAAGCATACAGCATACTACAGAAAGTACGAGTAGCAGCAAGCATGCCGTCGACATCGACCAGAACGCAATTTGCAATGGTTGTTTAGGTTCCCACCAGTACTACAAGACAAATTAAGTAAATAATAAACATAATAATAACATATGAAACATTATGTATATTACAGTATTTTACCTCTGTAACAGGAGGATATGTAGGCACAAGATATCCAATAACTGTCGGTAGATACATGGACCAAAATGCACTCTCAGTTTGACGATAATTTATTTGAATTGAGCTATTGAATGTTGTATTAATATTGAGATATCGCAATTGTCCGTGACGCGCAAGATCAAAATGTAATCCCAAGATTTGCGAAGGCGTCGGGTTCCTAGAAGAAAGTTAAATAAATTATGCATTTTTCCATCTTATTAGAATTAAACAAATAATTTCTAAATACATACCCATATTTTGCAAAATTAGAATACGCCATCATAAAGAAATGACTCATGTTACGATCATTGTCAGTCCACATTTCTCGACTTAATCTCCATTTTTGTGGGAAAAATTCTATAATAATAACTTGTTAATAAATTCTATAATAATAACAACTTGTTAATAAAAGTGTTAATAATTTGTATTAAAGATATGCACTAGAACATACCAACATCCATAAATGGAGCTCCTGTTAGCCATAAAAGTTCAGTATCATGAGGTACCCTAGCCCAATGTGGCGAATAGAACGCTTCTATTGAAGTATTTAAGACATACAAATAGGTAGGTACATGCCTTTCCACCAATAATTTAGCTATTTTGTCATATGGTGCAACATAGTGAAAATCAGTTAAGAGCTGAAAATATTAAAATATTAAAAAATTATAAATAGAACAATTAAAAATGATAATTGTACATAAAATTCAGTTTAATACTTTTGTATATAATACCTACACTTATATATTGATCACGTATGTGCGTAACATTCATTGGATCCGGCCAATATGTATACATATATTTTATCGCTTCATAAATGCCTTGTGGATTTAGAGTATAATTATATTGAAGAACTAGTTCCCAAATTCTTTGATCAAATACTTCAGGAGTTATTATATATTGATTTCTTGCTAATGTAACATTATTTTCTATAACATAAATATAAAATAGTTAATACGCTGCAATATGCAATTGAATAAAATAAATAACAAATTCTAGATAAAAATCTGTAAATACAATTAAATGAAAATGATTGATTTGATAACGAACTTATAATAAATGCTGCCTCCTGAGTTGTAACGCCAGCCATGTAAGCCAAATCTTTTCTATATTTGCGAGTTTTAATACTCTCTTCTGGTGTTTCTGTAAAAAAGTGCCAGTCGGATGCTCTCCACTCTTCGTACCAATCATCTAGAGGTATTGTAAAGTTGGTATCGAGCACGGGCGCCCATGGGAACATTCCGACATGTGGTTTTAATTCAGAATTGCCCAATTCAAGAAAGCTACGTCCATCTTTTAAGCATTGTACCAATTTCCAACTACTCTCTATACTGCAACCAAGCATTTCTGCATATACTCGCGATGTGTTTTGTGCTCGGTACTTGTCTATTATTACTGCCCAATCAGCTAAGGCTGAACCTGATTGGGCTATTACTTTTGATACCATCTGTCGAGTTCTGTGATAAAATAAATAAGTTTAATATAATTAATTAAAAAATGTGTGCATATATATATATATATATATATATATATATATATATATCACATATATATATATATATATATATATATATAATAGTATATATATAGTGTGTGT